TTTTCATTTCTGACACTTTTTTTAAGCGTGTGCATGCGTCATTATGCACGCAATACTTGCGTTGGTCATTCTGCACTGCTCGAGTTGGTAAAATCATACTTTTGTCAAAGTTTGTAACGAGTCGTTCTTTGACTGCCTCGCATTTTTAGAGGGAAATTGTTCAACACTTTCTTTTTGGGAGTTCTACGTTTCACATTTTTTCCCTGTTACTTAGTGTGATGTATGCACAATATTCTTTCGTTCTTTCTATTACAAACAGTTTCAACTTGCCGAAGATATCGTGATTCACTGTACTCACAAAATACAAGTATCAAAGTTCATTCGATAGTCATTCGAAGATGGTTCAAGGTCATATCAGGATCAATGTCATCCAAAGATCATTTCACCGTATCAATCTCATTTCAGTTTTTAATCATCTCGAGGTCGTGCACAGGTCATTTATATTTCATATCGAGGTCACTTAAAGCTCGTCTCAAGGTTGTCTGAATTGAAAATGATTCCGGATCATGGCGATCCAAGATCACTCGAGATCATTCGAATATCACTAAGCTTCTCATTTCTATTTGGACTTCAAATCTCGATGTTTCAGTAATTCAAAATCACTTGACAATCATTCTATGATTACTCAAAGCCATTCAAAAATCACCTCAATCGACTTTAAACCAAACGTTACAAGTAGTTCAGTCAAACATCTCGACACGCGACGTTTTGTCAGACAGACGTTTGTCCTCTTTATATATACACACGTATACAAGATGTTCCGTTTGCCAAGTGACAAAGTCCGATGTTTTACGAGACGCGTGTGAAATTGCAGTTACACCGCCAGCCCAGAGGGTGCAGTTCATCCTGGGCGAGGAAGTCGGGGACGATGCACACGAGTCGCATCCTCTCTTCTCCGAAATGGAGGAGCTCGTCAGGGATGGCGACGAGATGGAGTGGAAGGAAACGGCCAGGTAATCTTCGACTCCTTGTTAGACTTCTATTTTCGACGATGAGACGAAATCGTCGCTATCCCCTCGATGCCTCAGTGAGACAGACACATATAATATAATTTATCTTGACATTTTCCATCAAGGTGGATCAAGTTCGAGGAAGACGTGGAAGAGGGTGGAAATAGGTGGAGCAAACCTCACGTAGCGACCCTCTCGTTACACGCTCTGTTCGAGCTGAGGAGCCTGCTGCTAAATGGAACTGTGATGTTGGACATGGAGGCAGCCAGTTTGGAGCAAATCACCGATCTGGTTCTCGACAACATGATCAACAAGGGCTCCCTGCCGATCGAAGCGAGGGAGAAGGTATAGACAGAGGGCCGTGACTCTCTTTCCGTGTTCTATCAAACGCTCGGTCAGAAATTCGAACGAGAAAGTTGTGTTTGAAACACACAGGTGAGGGAAGCTCTTCTGGTGAGGCACCGGCATCAACACGAGAGACGCAAAGACAACAACATGTCCAGGCTACCTATCATCAGATCGTTGGCCGAGATAGGTCGAAATCATTCCTCTTCGAAGAGTAAGTCTGTCATGTTAAAATTTCATGCCGTGTTAAATAACTCGATATCGTTTGAAAAAAATGAATATGGTTGGTTAATTCATCGAGGAACAGGCTAATAATTTAGAAAAGATTTCAAAAATATACAAAATGCGCATATGTGTGAAGATATATAATATATTACTCTTGCCATATTATTTAGATTTTATTTCTTTGATTGTGCTCGTAAAAGAGTGTAGAAGAATTGCTTAAATATCCGCAGTTTAATCATAATGTTGAAAAAAAAAATGTACACAACCATATTTATATTTTATTATTATATATGATATTAATGATGTTAATCAGTTTGATGAAAAAATACGAAACAAACTCGAAGTATTAAAAAGTAGAAATTGATTGATGGAAAAGACTTTAGATAAATGAGATGTTTCATTCTCAATGAGTTAACCATTTTACAATCTTTTTAAATGAGAAGAAGAATTATCCCTCGATTATCCCAATTCAATCAAATATTCCACTAGTTTAAGTTCTATTTTTTTGTACCTTACCTTTTGCACAACGTTACATTACAATTTTTGAATAATTACCTGTTGTTATTTGTTCACTCGTTAATATGCCAAAGTTCAACAAGAATCGGACAAACGTAAAATGGTACGTGACCCTGGTGTGACCCGGAAATATCCGGCGGACACCACGCACCGTCCAAAGTTTTACCTCGCACACTAAACGCGTGCAAAACGCTCGGCATTTTCAGATTTCAACTGTACATGTGGTTTGCATGCGTTGTTGACGTCAGATTTACAGGAGCGTCGCGACGCTAGGGACGCCTACGCGCCCTCCGTCGCTCGCAGCAGCAGTTGCCCAAATTCGAACACTGCTCTGCTCTCGAAAGAGGCGAAAGATCTGAAAGGACCGTACCTTCTAGTTCCAGGTATAATTTACATAGGTCAGGCCATTGCTAGGCAGCCTCCTCGATCGCCATTGGGTCACGGTGCTTTCGCAGCTTTCTACGTTCCCCCGTTCTCATTATCCAACAACCCCTTGCGTGTGTACTAACAACAGTTTCAACCTACTAATGAACGTCAACCTTTGACCATGAACAATTCGTATGAACGTGCAGCCGAGACTCGATTTAGTTACTGTTCTGTGTAAACGCTAGTGCGATCTAATAGCAAACGTGGCTACATGGACAAACAAGTCCATCGTGCATTGCCCGGCTCGTCTCGTGGTACATACCAATATTCACGCTTGTTTCTTATTTTTCAATCAGACGAATTCGGCATTCCCCACGTGGTCGGATTCACAACATGGTTCGCGATGTGTCAACTAAAAGGTTAGACCGTCAGGTGGTTATTGTTCTTATAAATTTTAATCGGTAGAGCACAAAATCAGTGTCTTTCGTTCTCTCGTTTCTCTTGGCAATTTTCTCTCTTTCTTCTCTCTCTCTCTCTCTTTCTCTCTCTTTCTTTTCTCACTCTCTTTGTACATATTATAGACCGTAATGACAATAACGATCTAATGTTTCTCAACAAGCGTCGATTCAACGTATCACCCACTGTCCTTCTCTCTGTGAACTTCTCAGTGTTTTACAGTAGTAGCTAAGTATTTGCACGGAGAGGATTTATTGTCGATCGGAAAGCGCGAAAACGAATTCGGATGGACGCTCGTGTCTGATGAATGCCGGACGTTACTACTGTCGACCGTGACACGCCACACGGCACGGATACGAAGGCAATCCAAGCGATTCTTTTCACGGTTCTCACGAGGTAGAAGCGATACAAAGGAAGTGCACGATCGCGTGAACGCGTAGGTGAACCTTCGCAGTACTAATCGCGAGGCATGATCTCTCTAATTGTATAATATGCACGTGACTCAACGTATACACTTCAACTACTCGATATCATACACTGTACTACTAACTGTACCACACACTTTTAATCGACTAACTGTCTGTATTTTCAGCGTTCCAACTAATCTTCCTTCCCTATCTCTCGCAATACGAACGACTTTCGATTATTTCCCCCTAAACGATAAGTATATAATTGAAATGTCGCGAACGAATTGCGCCTGCGAACGATATTTTAAGAACTTAGACGATCTTGAGTCGTTGAAAAGTAAAAAAAGATTGCAAATTTTCTCTTATGTGTAATTACTAAACGAAAAGTTGCAATCTTTTTGGGATATATAAGCTTGTTTTTTTCAAGTCAAAATGTTATTAGATAGCGAAGTATTCATTAGCTTGAAAAACTTCATTTTGATTGATAACAACTATCGCTGCAAAGAACTAGAAAGTTCCTCTATATGTAAGTACGTATTATCTAAAATGTAGTTTACGATCTTAATATCAATTAATTAAAGTCAGTTCTGATTAGAGAGAATTTCAAACTGTTACCATTTCTCTAACAATTTAAATTTCTTGAATTTGTAAATCGATAGGAACTTTTATTTCAAATCTATCAATCCTTTACAACAATGGTAATTAAAAATCGATTTTTAAATTAACGAAATATTCTGCGGCTTTATATAAAATTAAAATATATTAAGAATCTCAAAGAAACATTTATACAGTTCAAAAACGTTGGATCTTTTCGTTTAGCAATTACTAAAGGAAAAACATTCGCAAAGCTTTACTTTAGGTCATCCAGCAAGTAATGTTAGTTTTTTTTATTTTAATTTCCCGTGCAAAAAGTTAATTGCTACAATCCTTTTCTCACTTTTCAATTAACTTTTTGTTATAGTTTCAGATAAAATTAAAAAATCACTCAATGTTGATCTTGGATGAAAATAAATTGGATAATCTATTGGTGAAAAATCAATTAAGTATAATAACTACGGTAAAAATTTCAAGTTAAAATTTTTAATATTTAGTTTTGTAGTATGACACTATCATCGAACATAATTTTACAATAGTCTATCGTATATAATGCAATCTTTATTCGAAATAAATTACACGCAAACAAGACGTGCACGTTTATGTAAAATAAGACAAGAAACAACATTACTTATAAGATGACCAATTTTTGTCAGCTCTGATGTACCTCTGTAAGTTCGACGCGCAATCGTTCGCGAAACAAGTAGTGTATTGAGTAAAAATGAGACTCCCTTGCTCCTTAGTTCCTTCCTCTGTAAATAAAGGACGACCCTGGTGTGTGTTTCATGCTCATTTTTAGTGGAGGAATCGAATTCCGCCCCGGCGATCGCCGGCGCAACAAGTCACGGCAGTGGGCCAATGCTGAATGCCGGTAGCCGCTTCCTTGCCATACCCGGTAACCCCGGTAAACTGCTTTCTTTATTGTGCTTGGCACTTCTCTTACCTTCTAACGTACGCAGAGTACCCTCTCGTCGCCGTAGAATTTTCCGTAGCAAAGCTATGCGACTGCGATCTCCCCTTTGACAACGACAGAATTTCGTAACGACGAGAGTGTCGCGAGTTGCGGGAAAATCGCGAACGCTCGCGCGATCATGGAAGTCGGAGAGATTGTTGAAAATAATAAATATCTCTATCGGCGAACGATTATCGAGAGCAAGTGGTAACACGGGAAACAAAATCAACTCTGTCCACGAGTAGCTTCAACTGCGTGGTCAATCTGTTAGAAAAGCTTGTATTGGTTAACTCAGTGGTTCGAAAGGGTTGAGTTGCCCCTTGCTCGTGACATTTACCATAACCTTCGAATTCGAGACTCAACGTTCACGGCGAGGAAGAGAACAAAAACAATCGCGAAGAGATCTACAGCGGGGGACAAAATGGAATTTGTAATAGAAAAAATTGAATAGAATATTAAATACTATATATGACAGTGATCTATTTCGAAGTGCAATTAATCATTGCTCTTGTTGAATACCGTCTAATTTGTGTAATACACTACGAATGTTAATATTATGTTCTTTGCCGTGGTTCATTCTAAAACATATATTGATCAACTCCATATGACGATGTTATAAAAATTGTTGTTTTTAATTGACGATCTGGCGTCATTTTCTTAAGACGAACAAACTCGGGAAAGTAAATCATTTGTTTCTTGAGGATTGAACGTTGATCCTTTGTTCACGTAACGAAATTACGAAATTAATCAAACTGGGGAGTTTCATTGCTCTAGAGTTTATCTAACATTCTTATAATTTTATAGCAATTCACTTTTCTTCTTTTTTTAAATATTCTCCTATCTTATCGATCCCACGTCCGTTGAGCAATAATTCAGTTTCTTTAGAAGTGTGGCTTATCACTTAAACATCTTTCCTTTTCGTCCGTCACTGTACGTCGTGAATTCTCTCGATTCTTCATGGTCTGGTCGGAAATTTCTGGCGTCGGATTCCCGCAACTCGGAAACGCTTTCGACACGTGGACGTGGGCCGCGACTTTTAACAGTTCTGTGGACAGAGGTGGTAATTGAGAGGAAACGGAAAACTGTGCAGCCTCTCGGTTACGATACCCACGCGGCTTCTCGCAGTTTACCTTGTACAAGAGACTGTAGGCGGTAAGCTAGATGTCTTTCAGGCCAAGAACCAGGCAGCAACGGGATGGACCGGAGTCCAAGCAGCGTGTCAATTAGTCGAAATCACAGTTCGTCCGCCTTGGAGAATGGGGACGCGAATCACAAGGTTCGTAGACGCCAACGATCGAATTTGGACTGCCCAGGGAGAAACGTTATTTACATTATGTTTGCATGCTGTTTTCATCAGGGTAATACTCATTTCATGCGGAAAATACCAGCTGGGGCCGAGGCGAGCAACATTCTCGTAGGGGAAGTGGATTTTTTAGATAAAACCCTGTCAGCGTTCATTCGATTAAGCCAAGCGGGAATAATGGGCGACTTGACGGAAGTTCCTGTGCCAACAAGATTTATATTCGTCCTGCTCGGACCTACGGTAAGATTCAGATCAGAAATCTTGACGAAATTGTCAATGAGTAGAATCATTTCGCTTTGGATATATATATTGTTATATATTTTCGGATATTTTTTTTATTTTATATATATTACATGTATAAGCAAAGTATTAAATTTAAAATAAATATAACTAAATAATTAACGCTAGAATTATTGACGACTAAAGCATAAAAATTTTATCGGAGAAATTAGAGCGCAAGGAATAGAAGAAAGTTCATAATACGATAAAGGACATGAACTATTCGTATATTTTATAAAAATCGTTCAAACCTCTAGAAATATCTTGTAAGTCTGCAAAATTGCTACAAAAAAATTATAAATTGGTCATTTCGACCATTACTTTAAAATAGTATAAATATCTAGTTCGCTATAGCCTGTGTTTGATTTGAAAAAAAGATACAGAATCGCCAATATTTATGTTGCGAGTGAATTTATTCGCTAAAGACAACATGGTGATAATGCCAGATATGTTCGAGAAATGAAACGTAAAAGGATACCTGATCATTTTAGCAAGTGCATCGATCTCAATTCCCTCAAAAATCATGGGACTATATTTTGTAAAAAAATCTTGACAGAAAGGCTTTGTCAACGAGTAGAACCACTTCAGTTCGGGTATCAATGATAGCATGCATCGTTGGAAGAACATTCAATTGTGTACATCTATCAACGGAAACGTAGATTTTCGATTAACTCGATGAAAAGCTCCTTTCGCGTAATTAACGTTTTAACGAAGCAATTGTCTACGCTGATTGCCTGGACCATTCTCGGTCTCGAAAGACCGATGCACAAAGCAATTTTTACCAAGCTCCAACCAGGGCTCGATTATCGTTCGAAATCGGCCTCTCTGTTTCTCGATTGATTCCCCAATGATTTCTCGCGTTTCCCCCCTAGAAATTGTTTTACCTTTCAGTTATCGATCATCGTGTAACGCGAGATTATTGAAACGATATCCTTTCCTTGTATCCGCCGGATGGAGATATTGGACCTGGAAGTATTTTAATTGATTCAAACGCGCCGGCAGGATTCCTTTGACGTAAACGAGAATGAAATAAGAAAAATTGAATCGCAGAAACGTCAGTAATGCAATAATGGTATAAAATTGAGATAACGAACACCGACATTTTAGAAGGAGTGGGAAAACGAAGAAAGCACTCTCTTAACCAATTGAAGATCAACGTAACATTTCATTCGCAATTCTTTTGAAGCAACTTTAGTTTTTATATTGCGGTTGAAGGGGAAATTACAATGGATCGGTTGATACTTTCTCATTATTTTATGAAACTTTAAGAAATTAAAGTACTCTCGATAAATGAGTTAGAAACGCAGAAATTACGGGATAAATACACTTCGTTCTAATTTGTCAGTATTCCATTCATCATAATTCTATTTCGAGAAAGGCGGAAAATTGGCCTGATTATAATTTTTCATATTTCGTACAATTTTAATTCTAAAACTACGTACGTTGGATATCATAACAATTTAGGATTTTAAATTAGTTAATTTTGTAATCATTAATTTAATTTAATCTAAATCGCATTAAATTTTTGTAATCATATACACGGCTTATTTTTCTTCGGTTTAATCGCAGGGTGGAATCACCGGTTTTCACGAGATCGGTCGCGCTATGGCGACCTTGATGTCCGACGAAGTCTTCCACGACGTGGCTTACAAAGCTAAGAACAGAAACCATCTGCTTGCCGGAATCGACGAGTTCTTGGACGCGGTTACGGTTTTACCGCCAGGGGAATGGGATCCTGCGATCAGAATAGAACCGCCTGCCGCCATTCCTTCGCAGGTAAAGTACATGTCAAGAAATTTCCCAAGTTAATCCCTTCTCGAATTTATGTTAATATTATTTATAAATGGAGAAAGGAAGTTCCTCAGAGTTAGAAGATATCAATTTTTTATATATTTACATTTATACTATTTACACCTTCAGAAAAAATATTTTCCAGAATTGAAGAAATATCAATTATTATATATTATGGAATTAAGAAATTTCTGTAATAAAGAAAAATGTACTCAGAATGTTAATATCTTTACATCGACAACGCCGATCGATTTGTTCAGGATGTAAGGAAGCGACCAAAAGAGGAAAAACCAAAGGAAGAGCTAGACGAGGAAGCGGACGAGCAAAAGTTGAGAGAGGAATCCGGTCTCTCGCGAAGTGGCAGGCTTTTCGGCGGTTTGATCAACGACGTAAAAAGAAAAGTGCCGTTCTACTTCTCCGACTTCAAGGACGCGTTGGCTCTACAATGCGTAGCCTCTTTTATCTTCCTGTACTTCGCCTGCCTCTCGCCTATAATTACGTTCGGTGGTTTACTCGGCGAAGCAACGGGCAAAAATATGGCCGCGATGGAGTCGCTGGTTTCCGGTTTCGTTTGCGGTATCGGCTACGGATTTTTCTCTGGACAACCCCTCACCATTCTCGGCTCCACCGGCCCAGTTCTAGTCTTCGAGACGATAGTCTATGAATTTTGCAAGTGAGTATGCACTCACGATATGTATCAAAATGATCCCGTCAAAATGATGACGTCGAATGTATGTCGTTATTGCTGCAGAAAATCGGATTGGAACTACATGTCGTTTCGCTTCTGGATCGGCTCGTGGATAACCCTGATTCTTCTAATTCTCGTGGCGATCGACGCCAGTGCTTTCGTGTGCTACATCACGCGATTCACCGAGGAAAACTTCGCCACCCTGATCGCGTTTATCTTCATCTACAAGGTACGTGATTCGATGCTATTCCTGGCGAACAGTTCCCGATCGAACGCAATTATTCGGAAGCGTTCGAAAACATTAGAATCGTTTCACGTTACGCGAATTGAATTCAAATCTTCAATTTCATTTTCTCAATTACATTTAAAAAAAAAAAAAAAAAAATAGACGACTCATGGATATTTCATGCCTCGAAGGTTTCAATTTGTCGAAGGTTTCAAATACTTGCGTTTGATGGAGAACTTCTTCATTCTCAGGAGTGTAACAAACAACGGACAGAAAGGTAAATTCCGTTCTCGTCGCCTTTGTAAATCTTAATTGCGCAACCGTGTCCTTCTGCCGCCGATGCGGGTTAATTGGATGTGGTGTAACGGCGTGTGCTTCGCAAATCGCGGCATCAGCGAAATCGCCGGCATTTGGGTCACGAATCACACGGTATACGCGTCTAATAAAAAGTTCTCCACAGGCTTCGAAACCGCTGGCCGCAAACTCGATCAGCTTCAATCTTGACTTAAAAAAAAGTGGCAACGACAATCGAACGGTCTTAAACTTTAATTCGTCAGCATTTAATCGAGAATATTCTGAAAGAGAAAGAGAGAGAGAGAGAGAGAGAATCGACTAAGAATTCGCGTGTTTCAGGCCATCGAAAATGTATTGTCCATCGGCAAGAAGTACCCTTTGAACACTCACGCGAACGAGCCGTTCAACTACGAATGCTGGTGTAAACCGCCGAATGGCAGCCTACCGTCTAGCTACGACAACGTTAATTGGACGGCGCTCGATCAAAAAACATGCCAGGTTAATTGAACAATAACGTTAGAGCTACTCGTTAGACGAAATTACTAACTGCAACCCGAGGCACCTTGATCTTAAGACCGGACCGTGGTCTGACTCGACACGGTGTTGTATCACTGATGAGAGCGTCGTTAACTTTCTTTCAGAGTTACAACGGCACGTTGATGGGCGACGGTTGCAACCTACCGCATTACATACCCGATGTGTTCCTCATGTCAATTATACTATTCATGGGCACATTCTTGTTATCCATCGAGCTCAAAGATTTCAAGAACGCTCTCTTCTTTCCGTCGAAGGTATGTTTCATCGATCGCCACGCGATAATGTTTCTATACACATTATGTTTGCTACACATTATGTTGTATTCTTTGCATTTTTAATTTTTCTAATTTGGTATAAATATCATCGATTATTATACATATTCAGTATGAATTGGGAACGAAATTTTATTCGCCGCGTGTCGTCATTTAGGTCAGACAGGTGGTGAGTGATTTCGCGGTGATCATCGCGATATTTTCGATGAGCACGCTCGATCATATCGTGAATATTCCGACGCCGAAGCTCGAGGTACCGGGGGAATTCAAGCCGACGTTGGCCGGTCGGGGATGGATCATCTGGCCTTTTCAAAGTAACCCATGGTGGAGCGCCATCGTCGCGTGTCTGCCAGCTCTTCTAGGCACTATACTGATTTTTATGGATCAGCAAATTACAGCGGTGATAGTTAATAGGAAGGAGAACAAGTTAAAGGCAAGTTTCTTACCCCTCCATCTCCAAAACGATGCACAACATTGTTGGTCCAAAAGTGTCGATTAAAATGTATGTCGTTCGTATTTAGAAAGGATGCGGCTATCATTTGGATCTGTTCATTCTCGCGATCCTCATCGAAATTTGCTCGGTGATGGGATTGCCTTGGTTCGTCGCGGCAACCGTGCTCTCGATCAATCATGTGAACTCGTTGAAGTTGGAATCGGAGTGCGCCGCGCCAGGTGAAAAGCCACAGTTCCTCGGTGTCCGCGAGCAACGAGTCACGCATATCTTGATCTTTTTGATGATCGGCTGCTCGGTTCTGCTCACGCCGATGTTGAGACACATACCGATGCCAGTATTATTTGGTGTTTTCCTTTACATGGGAGTTGCCTCGCTGAAGGGACTGCAATTTTTCGACAGGATTTTGATCATGCTGATGCCGGTGAAATATCAACCCGATTATATGTTCCTTCGACAGGTAAAATAATTAAAAGCTGAATCATTTATGCGTTGCTGAAGAGGAATCGGATCTCCCGTAATTGTTACAATTGTTGTAGGTACCGTTGAAGCGAGTTCATGTGTTTACAACGATACAATTGACTTGTTTGGCTTGCTTGTGGATCATCAAATCCTTCAGCACCACGTCCATTCTGTTCCCTTTGATGGTTAGTTTTTTACAGAAACCATTGTCTCGCGTGTAGCAAACGAATCTAAGCTTTAATCCTGTATTCTGCATCCTTTATCTACGTGTTAAATATTTAAAATATTCAAAACTGTTTCTTACTTACATGCTTTATGTAAGAAAGAATCTGTGAAGCTCGCCTGACGCGAGTGCAACATTTGAAAATTGCAGAAGCATGCTTCCACAAATTGACAAAGTCTCTATTAAATAGTAAAGACTGTACTAAAAGACGTCTACACGTATATTAATCTTTAATTTTTTAATACACGTGTATCTCTCGATCTCCAGTCGTTTATCAAACACTAACAAACTAAAATCCCGTACGAATAAATAGACTTGAAGTCAAAATTTTCTAAAGTCACGATATTTTTACACAGTTGGTGGTGATGATCGGTATACGCAAGTCGTTAGACTTGATGTTCACTCAACGCGAGTTGAAGATCCTGGACGACGTAATGCCGGAACCGAGCAAGAAACACGCCGACGATCTTCGACAATTGGAGAGCGGCGAGGTTAGCACCATGAGACGAATACTAAATACCATCGTTGGTCGTAAATAGCACAAAAAGTGTGATCGCGTGTCGAATATTCGCCCCGTGATCACTGTCTGCGACTACGACAAGCCCGCGTTTTGCCGAAAACGCGACGAACGCAGCGCGGTATATTAACGATCGATCGTGTGCACGTGGCCTAAACTTTGCTACGCGTATTTCTAGAAAACAAGTTCTCCTTGCCCGTCGTTCTGATCGTTGTCCTCGTTAACGTATCTCTCGGTTCGAAGCAATAATAATTCGCCACTAAACGTGCCTGAACGTGACAGAAATTTTGATAGAAATAAAAAGGAAATGTACTCGCAAACGTTCTCGACCAAAAGTAAATCCTCTCGTCGCGCACGACTGCGCCTGCCAATATACTCCGACCAGTATTAATTACGCGTAATGGTTGTTCCTTCGAATAACAGCATTTTGCACACGATTGTTTTAAATTTCGAGACGTAGACAAACTTGTTAAATTACTAAACAGATAAATAGATGATCGCATATTTATCGAAAGTATTTATACCATTGAAAAATTCGTAAACTTATTCGTCACTTATCTCTTTCACCAGTCTAGAAACGTTTTAATGAAACGCGGACGAATCTTCTTTTTCCTTTTTCTCTTTTTTTTTTTTTCTTTTACTGAATTTACGAAATGTCAGGATCATTTCGTGACAACGCCAAGGAAGCCAATGGTTCCAAACTGTGCCAATATTTCGGCTACACATTCGACACACATGTATCGGCTCGATGTATCGTCGAACACAGATTGCCTATACCTTAACATATGAAAATACATTATTGTTTAAGAACACACACAAATCTCTATGTAATCCCAGCTCTTCCTTTACGTAGCATTTACCGACACGTTTGACACACAGTACACGAGTCAAACACACTCTGTTTGCATGCATCTCCGACATTATAAAACGTCAGACTACACGTTTGGATTAAAATTAAATGGATCCTCCGATATCGAATGGAAATTGTTCCTAGCCGCCACACCGCGGTCCAGTACCTTTTTTGACAGCTAATGTATTTCCAAGCACGAAATTCCTGTAAAAACACTGTAACACTTAAAATGCGCGGAAGTCACGGAAACGCACGTGACTTTTCGGGTGAGAAAACAGAAACAGGGAGAGGAAAAAGTAAAAAAAAAAAAA